GTTTTCTAAATTACTTAGGCACAAAGAAAGGAAAGTATCCTAGACACTTAACAAGTGAAAGGCCTCAGAGTTCATTACAAACACAGCTGGAGTCAGTTGTTCATGCAAAATACATAATTAAAGGAAGGAATAACATACCCATTCAGAGAGGTCATTGGACTAGCAAAATTAAAAAAAAAAACGGTAAATGGATACTTCAGTGTATGCAGGTCATTTGGTTATGTAAACCATTCTAAAATGTTTGAGTAATTTGAAAAAATTATATTGATACATTATTAAAGTCAACCCAATGAGAACAGTGAAAGTGGTTTTTACCCACTGGCCAATATTTTGTAACCAGGACTAAAAATAAACCAAAATACTGTAGTACAATTTATTATTTTTTCTAGCACATATTGGCACATGAAACAACAGAGTTGCAAAGTAACATAATTTCCAATATAGTTCTATAAAGCTTTTTCATAATTACATTTACAAGAATAAGTTCACTTAAGGAAAGTGGTCAGTACATCAGTTAAATAATTTGCAATTCCCTGTCTAGGAAACAATGAAAACAATCAATGTGGCTTTTCATACACAAAAAAGATACTTCTTTAGTCTCTCATTGTGCCATAGCACAGAGTTGGAAAACTGAAGCAATACTAGAAATAAGGCTGCTAAACTGGCTGATTTTGACAAAAAGTTGGACTAATGCAATACTATAGTTTACATGTCCTATTGTTTGCAAAAATTTGCATCAACTTCAGTTTATGGGATAATGCATTTATGCTATCATAAGGCCTTGAAATGGGGAAAAGAAGAAGTGGTAATGAGAAGTGATTTCAGCCTATCAGTAATCTTTGCAACAAAAAATCTTTTGTAACAAAGGTTACAAAATGTTGGCCTGGAGGTCTATCATGTTTCAAAATTTCCAAAATTAATCTATCTGCTGTTTGAAGGAAGCTGTAAAAACCATAGGTTTCAAAATCACTAGGGGCTTGAGTTTTAAACCCTATTATTTAAGGAAAAAAAATAGAGAGAATGAAGATAATGCCTTAATTCAAATTAATACTACCACTACTTATTGTTTTTAAGACCCAATTCTTGGGCATTTCTTTATAGTACTCACCAATGCAGAAAGAAAACAAGCATTGTTGTTCCATTTTAAAGCAGAGGAATCAAAAGTCCAGTGAAGTTAGATAACAGGTCAAATTTGTCAAAATAAATAATCAGTAAAGAACAAAGGCCTAATTCACAATCTGATGTTATAGCCAATAAACAACACTGACTCTTGGAAGTAATTTAGCTTTTTAGGATATATGGTAAGAAAAAAAATCCTTCTCTATTTTGTATACTGTGTTAGTCAACAGCTATTACAGGTTCCTATACGGGCAAAGATATCCAGTATTCAGCATCTTGATCAATGATAAAAGAGAACTATGTGATTTTATGTGACCCTTTAGGTCAGCTAGTCTAATCCCTTCTTATTACAAATGAGTAAACCAAGGTCTAGGAAGAAGTAATTTGGTTTACAGTCACAGAGTCTGGATCATACCTCCTGAATTTTAGGAGAATGTTCTGTCTAGTACACTATTATGTATTCAATAAATACAAAAATAAAATGCATCCAATTTTACATACAAAGAATCTTTTACTTCTCTTATTTTTTGTTAATCAAATAGGAAAATGGGCAAAAGGAAGCTACAGTTAGAAGGGAAGAAATGAGCAGGGACTGATTCTTAATCTTGGCACAGTAATCTCTACATGCTTAAGGCTTAATAAGCGTTTGTTAAATTTGAAATTATATAAAAATAGAATGTTAAGCAACACCCATTTCCCTTCCATTCAAGAATAACCATAAATGTCAGATGTCTTTTATAGAGTAATCAAGAATGGGCTCCATGTGTTTCCTACCAATCTTCTCCCCCATTCCCTTATGCACAAACACAAATATACAAATACATACACACACACACACACACACACACACACACACACACAGCTTTTCTAAAGGTGTATGGAAGATGAAAATCCTACTGTCTCTGTCTCCATTTCTTTTATATGGTATAGATATGGTGGTTGAATCAAAGGGTTCAGAAAGAAAAGTGTCTACCACATGGAAATATTCAGGCTAGATCCAAAGTTCTTCACCTTTTCTTGTGTCTTGGACAAGTCTGGTAAAGCCTATAAACTCTTCAGAATAATGTTTTTAAATGAATAAAATAAAACACGTAGGATTCAAAGGAAACCTATGATATTAAAAAACAGTTATCAAAGTATTTTTTTTAAAACAAGTTTATAGTCTCCAGGTTAAGAACTTCTGACCTACACAATGAAAAGTTCTATTGTAAACTTGGGCTAAGCAAGAACATGATAATTCTAGAGTTTTGAGTACCAATTCCACTTCTGCCGGTAACCTACTGTGTACATTTTAACAGATAATTTTTAAGCATAATCTCTGGAGAACAGAGCCAAATTTGACTTATTCAACTTAATTCAATAAATATATATTGGATGCCTACTACGTGCAAGGCACTATCCTAGGCTTCAAAGAGATACAAAGAAAAAAAAACACTATGGTTTCTGTCCTTAAGAAGCTAGTATTTAGGAGTAAGACTTGCACAGATGAGCACTTAAGTTGTATTTAGTATTAACTTTACTAGTTTTAATACTTTAATACAACTTTAATAGTTGTATTACCTTTCTGTGATTCTGATCCTTCATATTATAAGACAAGCAAACTTCCTGACCTATTTCATGAGCAATTGTAAGGAAAATAACTAATAAAATGGACTTTAAAAGGTTTACAAGTTCGAAACACATCAGAGTATGTAACATCTATTTATAAGGTTATATATTTGTCATCAGATAATTCCTTGTTAGTTTCTTGTTTCATATAATTTTTTGAGAGTTTGGTAAATGAAATTTAATTTATTTGGTTCTACTGCCCAATTCTCATACTCTCCTCCTCTGGGGCATATATTACACCCAGAGAACTACATATATATGCCAAACCATGCATATTTCTCCAACAGGACATACAACTCAAAAGATATACAATTCCCAACTGTTTACAGTGTTTTTTATTCTAACTGCATGTCTATATGTATATCTAATTTCTCAGTGTTTGCTGAATGCTAGATGCTTAGAGATGCTTTTAAAATTATGGGAGGATTACAAAATGAACACGGAAGATGATAGTCAGATTACATGTTTATGGTATAACTTCTTAGTATCCCAAATTTTTATAATTAATATAAACACATTAATAGGTGAGGACAACTAGGCCTTTATACCAGGATGACAAATTTAGAGGGCACAGTGACATAATTTTCGATCCTTTAGCAATGAATAAATAATAGTTTAACACCTAGTTGGTAAGAATAATTAACAAAAATGGCAATATTACCAGATAGCAGTCTGAGGGGAGCTTCTCCTCTAACACTCTGCTCTTTCTTATCCCTTGGTCAGTTTCCTCCCTCCCCAAGGTTGTTAGAGACTTTAGGAGACCATAGAATGGGAAAATTTTCTTTAAAAAAATATATTAAGATAAATTGGCATTAATACATTTGTGCAAATCCCCCCTCACACACACACAATGAATCACTATGGGATTGAGGGGGGGAGGGCAGAGGAAGAGGGTGATTATTTTCCTATGGATAAGAAAACACAAGGAAGTAATAGGTTCTATACTTTGATTAGATCAGGCTAAGGCATTCCCAACAAGAAACATTCCTGGAAAAACAGCCCTCCTAATTTTCTACTTGTTATCAGAAGTAACATAACTCTAAATTGGCCATTTCACCTATTAAAATTTATCTTAGTTCATATGAAAACATAGAGGGACTAAGAGTTACCATTGAGGCAAACAGGAACCACATCCTTTAGGATTCTTTAGATTGAAATTAAGATATAGTATTGGAGAATAGATAAGCAGATAATCAGGAAATCTGTCCCTGAGCAGTTCATATCATACTGTATTAGCAAACTGCTGGCAGCTAAATATGACCATTTTTCTGTGTATTTTGAGGGAAGAAGAAATAGAATTAAGGGATGAATTATAAGGTGACTAGGCCCAGTGAGTAAGGACAATTAATGGAAACTAAGTTAGAAACCAAATGGCCTAAGGAAGAAAAAAAAACAAACACCTCAAACCTTCAGAGAACAATACAGATAATAATCTTGGTAACTGATTAAAGTCCATCATTACAGACAGAGAGAACAAGGGTACCCAAGGTCACACAAGTCAGTTAGTTGGAAAGTACTTCCCCATTTTATAGGTGAGAAAACTGAATCCTAAAGATGTTACATTATTTTTGCACAAAAGTTATACAAAGATTCGGTGGCAGATTGAACCTGAGTCTTCAGACTCCTATTCCTTGTGACCCTTTTACTGCAACAAAGAGACATTGGGTGCTGAGGCTCTGATATATTGCCTGACATGAGAGATACTACTAGGCACCATTCCTTGGCTAAACTGTTTAGCACAATTTCAGTGACAATAGTAACCTAAAATTGCATTGTATTTGTCAAAAGTGAAGAGAGATTACTTTAAAACTATCCCAAAGATCTTACCTTTCTCCCAGATTTTTCCACTGACTGCAACAAAGCCAGAAGATTATAGTGACTACACAGAGTTGCTAATCACACTTATTCTACTGATGAAGTGGCAAGGAAAGCACCCTTAATTTCTAACCAAGTTCCTTATAGTGATGGTCAAAATTTTAATGATAATATAATCCTGAAAGAGCCTGGTAGTCTCCTGGATACCGAGTCTCATTTAGCCTCAGTTGGAGCTGATCAATGCAAAGGAAGCAGGAATGAAGTCCAAAGTGAGAGAAGTAGAAGGAAACAGAAACCTAAAATGGAGGTCAGATTTTATAATCCCATTTGGATCAACTCAAAGATTTCAAAGTCTTCCAATTAAAGATCAGGAGGATGAGTAAAAAAAAAAAAACACCTCATGCTTGGGAGCTACAATGCATGTGACTTCACTCTAAGAATATAAATCACATACTTACCCCTTCACTGGCATTTTCACCTGTGTTGGCAAGCATTTCCTGTAGAGCTCTTACAGACAGAGACTGTTCCAGTACAAAATTGCAGATGCATAGGTCTGGAGGAACATACTGTTGACATAAAACAAAGAAAATGACAAAAGTAAGCTTGTAAGCTGCCTCACTGCCTCAAATCAGGACTAAATATAAAAGGGAGGGGAGGAAAAGGAATAAATTGAAGAGAATAAGAATTTATACAGTGCCTATTATGTAGCAGGCACTGTGCTAAGCAGTTTACAAATATTATCTCAGTTGATCCTCACCACAACCCTGAGAGGTAGACAGTGTTATTATCCCCATTTTACATTTGAAGAACCTGAGGTAACAGCAGTTAAATGACTTGTCCAGGGTCACACAGCAAGTAATAAGGCCTGCTAGAAGTACATAAAGCCTAGTCCTAATAGAAAGTCCCAATTGAGGAAGAAAGTCTGTTAGAAGGAGTTAAAAAAAAAAAGACTTGGACCATGAAGAACTAATATGGTGATAAGGAAACTCAAGACATAAAGAGAAGAATGACTCCAAAACATCTGTATCCATAAGCCTCAAAAGAAAAACACATCTTTAACATGTTTATGAGGATTAACCTATTATTAGGTCCTAAATGACAGATATGACTTACATTTGATCACTAATTGACCTGCCTATGTACTAGGAAGTTCATATATACCCAGTAATTGCCTTGATTAAGCTACAATTAGGGTTACAAATGCAAAATTAGCAAACTATAAGATTGGCCAACTTCACGTAATCCAGGTACACAATATTAGCAAATATTCCTAATCACAATGTCCTTATATTCAGTGGGGGTGGCACTGGGGATGGAGATGATGGGGTGCTTGTACTGGGATGTCAATTCCAAGACCATGTTTCTCCCTAGCCTCAGAAACACTATCCCTGGCAATTCCCCCCTAGCCCAAGGACACTATGTCTAGCAATTACTCATGAGTGGGCCCCAGCAACACACTTATCTCTCTCCCTGGTGCAGTGACACAAAGCTGGGTGAGAGAGTGATGGGCTGCTCAGGCCCCAGTCCTAAGACCTCTGGAAGCCTCCCAACTTCTTATTAGGCTCCTGTCCTGTGCGAAAATTTTCTCTTGTTGTAGAACACATTCTCTAATCAGGACAGAGAGAGGGGTGCCTGGCCCAAGGATTTTTGTCCCTGGTTAATACTTAGGAAAAATGTTTATCTCTAAAAGTTTTCATTAACAAAAGATAGAAGGAATAAATCAATGATTTGGGAAGGCAACTAAAAATAAAAAGAAAATTAAAAAACCCTACCATTAAAAATAAAATAAAAATTCTAAAACTCAAAGAGATTATCAAAATTGAAATTAAATTAAATTAATAAATGAAATTAGAAGTTGTTGGTTTTCTTCTTTTTTGGAAAAGGGATAAAATAAATCATTACCTCATTTGAATAAAAGAGTGAGATGAAAACCAAGTCACCAGTATCAAAACTAAAAAGGGCAATTTTGAACAAATAACAAAAAACTACAAGAAATTATTTTTAAAAGGATGGAGTCAAGATGGTAGAGTGAAAGGAATCAGTATAGCCTAGCTTTTCACCATGTCTTTTACAAAAAGATCAAGAAAATGTACCAGACCAAAGTCTGATCAAGAAAGCCAAGAAAAACTCAGAGTGAGTTTGTCCAGTCTACCAGAGTTGAGGAAGGCAGACCTACCTATGTCTTCAGACACTGGACTTGGGGTCTGGACAGGAGTCTGTATGTTGCAGAACATTCACGCACCCAGAGACTGAGTACTGAAAGCTGAGACTAGTCATTGGGACAGAAAACACTGAGATAAGAAGAAGCTTCAGAGGATCCCTGAATCAGCAAAGCATGCAGGACTGGGTGCCATCTGGCAAGTGTGTTCCTCACTTCATAGTGCCAGGTCACAGGTCCAGGGCAGAGAGGAAAAAAGGAGAATTTGGGACCTTGTGCACTGAGCAAAGAATAAGTTTCTAAAGGAAAACCTAGCTGCAAGCTCTAATCCCAAGAAGAGAACAGGGACTCAGTTCCAGTCTCCATCTCAGCATGGAAGCCTGCAGTGAAATAACCAAGGCAAGAGTCCTATTCCAGGAATGAACCCGGCAATCAGTCATTCTGAGGCTGCAGAACGTCCCAACAGGCAAAAGGTGGATGCAATGGACTACTGAAACATCCAATCAGATAAACCAGAATTTATAGTGCTCAGAACAGGAGTGCAGTGAGCAGACTTCACTCAGGATCACATCATTTTGGGATCACTGAAAGCTTGCAGGCCCTGAACCTGAGTTGTGAAAGCAGTGGAGGGACAAAAAAAAGACAAGTTCAGGCCAGATAGTCACACACACACACACACACACACACACACACACACACACACACACACACACACGGCATGCACAGAACTCTAACAAAAAGTTCAAAGTCAGGAAGTAGGCTGCAAAAATGAGCCCCTCCCAAAAAAAGCTCACTGTAAAGATTATGGCAACAGGCAAGCTCAGGAAGCAAACCCAGAAGAAAATTACTTGAAACCATCTATAACCAAAGCTTCAAAGAAAAATGAAACTTACAAGACGAAGCCAAGATGGCAGAGTAAAGGTAGGGATTTGCCTGAGTTCTCCCCCAGATCTCTCCAAATACTTTAAAAAATGACTCTAAACAAATTCTAGAGCAACAGAACTCACAAAAAGATACAGTGAAACAAATTTCCAGCCCAAGACAACCTGGAAGGTTAACAGGAAAGGTTTATTGCACCAGGCTGACAGAGGAGTGCAGTCCAGCTTAGGCAACTGCCAGTGCAGACTAGGCTCCAGCAAACCCAGAGCAAGCTTCAGGGGACTAAATCACTGGCAACAGTGGTGGTTTCCAGACTTCTCAGCCCACAGACACCAAAGACAACTTAGAAGGTCAGCGAGAAAAATTTGTCACACCTGGGTGAGAGAAGAGCACAGTCCAGCACAGCCTCAGCCCCAGCAAACCAGGAGTAGGCCTTGGGAGTGACTGAATCAGTAGTGGCAGCAGCAGCTTCTAGAGCTCTCAGCCCACAGATGGTAAGGGGATAGAACAACTGGTCAGAAGGAGATTACAGGAGTGTCTTTGTTAGCACTGAGGGAGGTCTCTGTTGCTTTGCCCATACTTGGATCTGGGTCACAGTCCTGGATGGCAGTCCTGGGGCAAGTGGGAGCAGTAGCATAGCAGAGCGTGTGGCAGCAGTGGAGATGGGACCATCCTCACAGTTCCAGGGCAGGAAAGAATGCTTGTGGTCACTCACAGATCAGAGCACAGGCCAGGAGAGTAAACACCTCTCCTTAGAGCATACTATCTTGGAAGAACAAAACCCCTAAAGCTTGGAACACTTGGCCCTCCACAATGGAAACAGAGCCCTACCTTAACAAAGAGTTAAAAAGTCAAGTAATTGGCTAGGAAAATGAGTAAACAGCAGAAAAAAAACTGACTATAGAAACTTACTTTGACAAAGAAGATCAAAACACACTCAAAAGAAGACAACAAAGCACATCCAAAGCCTCCAAGAAAAATACGAATTGGTCTCAGGCCATGGAAGAGCTCAAAAAGGATTTTAAAATCAAGTATGAGAAGTAGAAGAAAAATTGAGAAGAGAAATGAGAGTGATGTAAGAAAATCTTGAAAAACTAATCAACAGCTTTGTAAAGGAGATAAAAAAAACACTGAAAAAATTAAGACCTTAAAAAATTGACTAGACCAAATAGCAAAAGAGGTCCAAAAAGCCAATGAGGAGAAGAATGCCTTAAAAAACAGAATTGGCCAAATGGAAAAGGAGGTACAAAAACTCACTTAAGAAAATAATTCCTTAAAAATTAGAGTGGAGGCTCAGATTCTTAAAATCTAGCCAATACAAGGGTCACAGATGTTCAGATTTCTTAAGACTCTGGCCAACTTGGTGAATCTTTAATAAACCTTGTTTTTGGCTGAAAAAAAAATTAGAGTGGAACAAATGGAAGCTAATAACCCTATGAGAAATCAAGAAATTATAAAACAAAACCAAAAAAAATGAAAAAATAGAAAACAATGTGAAATATCTCATTGGAAAAACAACTGACCTGGAAAACAGATCCAGGAGAAGTAATTTAAGAATTATTGGACTACCTGAAAGTCATGATCAAAAAAAGAGCCTAGACATCGTCTTTCAAGAAATTATCAAAGAAAATTGCCCTGATATTCTCGAACCAGAGGGTAAAATAGAAATTGAAAGAATCCACCTACTACCTCCTGGAAGAGATCCCCAAAGGAAAACTGCCAGGAATATTATAGCCAAATTTCAGAGTTCCCAGATCAAGGAGAAAATATTGCAAGCAACCAGAAAGAAACAATTCAAATACTGTGGAAACACAGTCAGGATAATACAAGGTTTAGCAGCATCTACATTAAAGGATCAGAGGGCTTAGAATATGATATTCTGGTGGGCAAAGGAGCTAGGATTACAGTCAAGAATCACCAACCCAGCAAGACTGAATATAATCCATGAGGGGAAAAAATGGACTTTCAATGAGATAGATGAATTTCACTCATTCTTGAGAAAAGACTAGAGCTAAATAGAAATTTTAACTTTCAAATACAAGACTCAAGAGAAGCCTGAAAAGATAAACAGGAAAGAGAAATCATAAAGGGACTTATTAAACTATTTACATTCCTACATGGAAAGATATTTGTAATTCATGAGACCTTTTGCAGTACAAGGGTAGTTAGAGGAAATATACATATATAGACAGAGGGCACAGGGTGAGTTGAATATGAAGGGATATCTAAAAAATAAAATTAAGGAGTGAGAGAAGTATGTATTGGGAGAAAGAGAAAGGGAGAGTAGAATGGAGTGAATTATCTCACATAAAAGAGGCAAGAAAAAGCTTTTACAGTGGAGAGAAAGAGGGGGGAGGTGAGGAATGAATAAACCTTACTCTCATCAGAATTGGCTAAAAGAGGGAATAACATACACACTCCATTGGGTATAGAAATCTTTCTTACCCTAGAGGAAAGTAGAACAGAGGGGGATAAGTGAAGGAGGAGTGATAGAAAGGAGAGCAGATTGGGGGAGGGGTAGTCAGAAGC